GTTCCGCGGCGCGTCCTCCTGGCATGTCCCCCTGTCGATTAGTTCTGGGGTAGCTACCATCTGCTCAGGCAGCTCGAGCTTAAGATCCAGATCAGTTCGGTCAGGACTCGGATGCAACGAGGACTCGATCCACAACGCTATCCAGAGCACAATCGCGGCATGGCACATCGCAGTTCAGCACGGCGCAGCACAGCACAGATTTCGGCATGGTACATCAAGATCGATACACTCAGCATTGCAACTTGGCACGTTCCGTGGGGCGTCCCTTGGCGAGTCCCCCTGGCACGTCGCGTGGCGCGTCCCCTCGCACGTCCCGCGGCACGTCCATTGGCACGTTCCGTAGCGCGTCCGCTTGGCACGTCACGCGGTGCGTGCCCATGGCACGTCCCCTGGCACGTCGCTTGGCGTGTCCTTTGGGACGTTCCGCGGCGCGTCCTCCTGGCATGTCCCCCTGTCGATTAGTTCTGGGGCAGCTACTATGTGTTCAGGCAGCTCGAGCTTAAAATCCAGATCAGTTCGGTCAGGACTCGGATGCAAAGGAGGACTCGATCCACCTCGTCCCCGGCGTCCCTTGGCGAGTCCCCCTGGCACGTCGCGCGGCGCGTCCCCTGGCACATCCCGTGGCGCATCCATTGGCACGTTCCGTAGCGCGTCCCCTTGGCACGTCCCGCGGTGCGACCCCATGGCACGTCCCCTGGCACGCCGCCTGGCGCCATCCCTTGGGACGTTTCGCGGCGCGTCCTCCTGGAATGTTCCCCTGTCAATTAGCTCTTGGGCAGCTACTATGTGTTCAGGCAGCTCGAGCTTAAGATCCAGATCAGTTCGGTCAGGACTCGGATGCAAAGGAGGACTCGATCCACGACGCTATAGAGCACAATCGCGGCATGGCACATCGCAATTCAGCACGGTGCAGCACAGCACAGCCTTCGGCAGGGTACATCAAGATCGATACACTCAGCATTGCCCCAGTCAGGTGTCTTTGAAAGCGCTGCCATGTGTTACGGTTCTATATTCCTTTCCGGGTTCGTGGGTCGATCATGTTCTTTTTGCGGCAGCTGGGCTCACGTGGCGGGCTCGATATGGGGTCCTCGTGGCCATCCTTTTCACTGCTGCGTGCTATCAGCGTTCACCTGCTGCACGGCCGTGGAGCGCTGGAGGTAATTCCCCGCTTGCGGTGACCGTTGCACAGGGGGGGCCACTTTTCCCGGAAAGGGCGCGGGCCCAGGGTTCTCTTTTAGCCGTTTACCCCCGGATCTGACGGGTCAAGCGCCGGCGAAATTATTTGCGATAAATAACGAGGTAAAGTGCTGATTTTTTTAGAAAAAGTGCGTTTTGTGCGTGCCCGCTCGAGGAAAGTTTGCCCCCCATCTCGGATCCTCGATAAATAACGGGGTCCGCAGACCCCCGCTTTCCCTCGTAAAAAAGAGGGTGCGGAGCGTTTTTCGCAGAATCCTCGAAAAATAACGGGGTCTGGAGCCCCGACCGCGACTCGGAAAAGCGCCCCGCGCTCAGGAATTCCGAGGATGTCTCGCGCGTGCCGCGTCCCGCGCGCAGGAATTTCGAGGATGTCTCGACTAATTCGCTTGTTTTGTCAGGATTTCTTAGAACTTTGGCAGGATGTCTCGAGCGAAACGCTTATTTTACAGAGTTTGTGGAGGATGTCTCGAGCGAAACGCTGGTTTTCGCAAAATTTGGAGATGTCTCGAGCGGGGGGCCAGAATTCAGAGGATGTCTCAGGCGAAATGCTTGTTTTCGTGTCCCGCTCGCGGGAATTCCAAGGATGGCTCGCGCGGGCCGCGTCCCGCGCGCAGGAATTTCGAGGATGTCTCGACTAATTCGTTTGTTTTGTCAGGATTTCTTAGAATTTTGACCGGATGTCTCGAGCGAAACGCTTGTTTTTCATAATTTGTTGAGGATGTCTCGAGCGAAACGCTGTTTCTGCAAACTTGGGGATGTCTCGAGCGGGGGCCTCGTGGGGGGCCAGAATTCAGAGGATGTCTCAGGCGAAATGCTTGTTTTCACGTCCCGCTCGCAGGAATTCGGAAGATGTCTCGCGCGTGCCACGTCCCGCGCGCAGGAATTTGAAGGAGGTCCCGTAGCGCGTGCACCCTTGCCTTGGCAGGTGCGACCCCATGGCACGTCCCTTGGCACGTCGCCTGGCGCGTCCCTGGGGACGTTTCGCGGCGCGTCCTCCTGGCATGTTTTCATAGTTTGTTGAGGATGTCTCGAGGGAAACGCTTGCTTTGCAAAATTTGATGATTTCTCGAGCGGGGGCCTCGTGAGGGGCCAGAATTCAGAGGATGTCTCAGGCGAAATGCTTGTTTTCGTGTCCCGCTCGCAGGAATTCCAAGGATGTCTCGCGCGTGCCGCGTCCCGCGCGCAGGAATTTTGAGGATATCTCGGCTAATTCGTTTGCTTTGCCAGGATGTCCTTGGATTTTGACCGGATGTCTCGAGCGAAACGCTTGTTTTTCATAATTTGTTGAGGATGTCTCGAGCGAAACGCTGGTTTGGCAAACTTGGGGGATGTCTCGGGCGCGGGCCTCGTGGGGGGCCAGAATTCAGAGGATGTCTCATGCGAAATGTTTGTTTTCACGTCCCGCTCGCAGGAATTCCGGGGATGTCTCGCGCGTGCCACGTCCCGCGCGCAGGAATTTTGAGGATGTCCCGTAGCGCGTCCCCTTGGCACGTCCTACGGTGCGACCCCATGGCACGTCCCTTGGCACGTCGCCTGGCGCGTCCCTTGGGACGTTTCGCGGCGCGTCCTCCTGGCATGTCCCCCTGTCAATTAGCTCTGGGGCAGCTACTATGTGTTCAGGCAGCTCGAGCTTAAGATCCAGATCAGTTCGGTCAGGACTCGGATGCAAAGGAAGACTCGATCCACGACGCTATAGAGCACAACCGCGGCATGGCACATCGCAATTCAGCACGGTGCAGCACAGCACAGCCCTCGGCACGGTACATCAAGATCGATACAATCAGCATTGCACTTGCCCGTCATCCAATCAGGTGTCTTTGAAAACGCTGCCGTGCGTTACATTTCTATATTCCTTTCCGGGTTCGTGGGTCGATCATGTTTTGCTGTGCGCGTCTGGATGTGGGTTGGCCATTTTGTCCTCTCTGTCCTGCGCGCCCCGCATGGGCGCTGTCTTGCACAGCCGACGGTGCCCTGTGGTCCTGTGGCACGGGCCTCTCCCTGTGCGCACTGCGCGACTCCGCTTGCAGAGCGCGGGGTGGCCCTCACCTCTCAGCTGTGTTGCGCGAGCCGCTCGGCTCCTTGACTCGGCTCCACTGTGCTGGTGTTGTGGAGCTCGTTGTCACCCCCCAGAGGACTCGCCCATCTCTGGGGGTGTACGGGGGTTGCATTCGCGTGGATACAAAAAATCCTCCTCCTCCTCCTCCTCCTCATCCTCATCCTCATCCTCATCCTCATCCTCATCCTCATCCTCATCCTTCCCCTCCTCCCCTTCCTCCTCCTCCTTACAGTCGGCCTTGATTAGTAGGTCGACCTTGTGTGAAATCAAGAGTACCCTTGCGTCTGGCGTCCCGCGATCCATGTGCGCCTCCCTCCCTCTCAATTGTACTTCTCGCCCTTCCCTCCTCCCTCCCTCCTCCCCCCCCTCTTCCTCCTCCCTCCAATATCGGTACGCCTCCCTTCTCGTCCCTCCTCCCTCCTCGCCTCTCGTGACTGTACTCCTCCCTCCTCCCCGCGTCCTCCCTTCTAATCGTACTCCTCCCTCCCTCCCTCCCTCCCTCCTCCATCCTCCCTCCTCCCTCCCTCCTCCCCCCTCCTCCTCCCTCCCACCCTCCCTCCCTCACTCCCTCCTCACTCCCTTCTAGGCTTGTGCACGGGAGCGGCGGCGCCCCGCTCTCGCCCAGGGGCCGCAGAGAGAGAGAGAGAGAGGTAGAGAGAGAGAGAGAGAGATCGGACAAGCAGACGGGCGTCCCGTCGCGGCCGGCTACTGCGGTAGCGGGGGCCGCCAACGCACTCTCGGCAGTGGCGCCGCGCCTGAAAGGACGGGGAGCGTCGAAGCAACCACACCCCTGCGTAGAGCGAGAGCGACCCTTCGGAGACGGGGGTCACCACGCAAGCGGGGGTCCGCCAGAGCGCCGGCTCGCGCAGAGGACCCTGCAGGGTCGGGGCTCAAGGGACGGGGAGCAGTGCACAACGGGGCCGATTTTCCCGGAAAGGGCATAAGCCCAGGGTTCTCTTTTAGATGGTTTACCCCCGGATCTGCTGGGAAGAGGGCCGGCGGATTTCTTTTGCGATAAATAACAAGTGGGAAGAGGGCCGGCGAATTAAAATTTCAGGATGTCTCGAGCGAAACGCTTGTTTTTCAGAATTTGTTGAGGATGTCTCGAGCGAAACGCTTGTTTTGTGTTATAGATTGTCCTTTCCTGGGGACCAGAATTTAGAGGATCTCTCAAGTGAAATGCTTGGTTTCACGTGCCTAAGTCTTGAGGATGTCTCGAGCGAGACGCTTGGTTTCACGCCTCCAGGTTGCCCAGGCAGAGGTC